ATCATAAATTCTCACATTTGAAGTCAATATATATATATATATATATATATATATATAATATGTATGTGTTTATGTTGTCCCGTCCGACCTTATGCCGTTTGTGTACAATATACGATAATAATAATATTACAGCTGTTACGGTTGTCGGTTTATAGAAATACAAATAAAAAAATATACATATAATTTTGTTTTTCAGGTATTCTCGTAATGCAATATTATATATATTTTTTTTTTTCAGCGCGTTCAACTGTTCGGTCCGACTATGACCATTCACGCATAGGTATTATAATACCTATGCGTGGCATGGCATGGCAGTCACTATGGGGAAAGTAAAAAAAATATTCACAAAAAACACAACAACGATATTGCTGATGTGTTTTGAAACCGCAGTCGACGAACGCGGCCTAATCGTTCGTAGAAACTAACAAAATATATTCATATACAACCGGAGGAATTGGGCGAAATTTAATTAAAAAATAACGGATACAAAAAAAAAAAAAAAAACTTGTAAATCGGATTCATCCGATTAGATTTCATCGTTTACACAACTTACAAATTTACAATCTAATTGCAATTATTATTAAATTCTAGTTGCTTTTTGAATAATTTACAATGTGTGCACCGAAAGAGTGAGTTAAAAGTATACAATTTTAATAAATAGAACATAAAGATATAGATGTAAATATTGCTTTCACAAAAACGAGTAAACTGTTAAAAAAAAAACAACCTGAATTGATATAAACTATGAACGGACTCTAATAAAGTATTTGGAATGTTTTGTAAGTCACTTAATACGAACTGATATGCCAAATCAACTTTAATTTGTTCTAAACTCTTTCTTTATCAATTTTTTTTTCTTAAAAACATCAGACCGTAGATTCCAACGGGTCCCGTATATGTTTGTGTTGAAGCTCAGATGTTGCTAATGTAATTTTGTAACTATTACTACAAGCAGCTACAGTACATTAATATTATGCCAATTTCAGCATGTTTAAACTAACCTTTGGCCTATAATGTCACAATATTCCGACATATTTTGTACATCGAATTCCTTTGGCTAGTTAAACACGAACTAAGATAAATGTCTTATATAAATACATATTCAATAGAAACTTGGAAATGTACATATACATATTATATTATTTACCACAAATTGCTTCCCGTAGGATATGGCGTTGCCCATCACATAATGTTAAACGACAAGTACAAACATAAAAAAAAATATAAATTCAATACAGCATTTTTTTTTTCTCAAACGAAAAGTCGTTTATAACGTTCAAGACGTTTGATGACCGTTTGTGTAAATATTTTTCCACCACGTACTTCAACTATTTTCTCTCGACCGAGTTCTTCGTTTTCAAATGAAAGTCTCTCCGATACTACTGCGGTCGGTGTCGACACAATTCATTTTAATGTAATCATTATATTTTTTTCATTACATTGCTCTCGTCCGTTTCTAGATAGCAAAAAAATACAGTACATACTTTTCTCTAAAACATATTATTATCTATTTCTATCGGCGCAACATTCTTATTGTTACACGTGTTTTTAGTGTATACAAAGTATATATATATACATATATATGTATAAAAAATAACAATAATATAGTTCATACCTATAATTGCAACAACAGCGATTCCTTTTTTTTTTTTTATTATTACAAAAAAAAAAAACACACTGTGCTCGGTTGGAAAACGACCATTAAACTCCGTGAAAATGTAATTTAATATATTTACATAGTTTCGATTTTGTATAAATAATAACATCATACACACAATAATAATACACTATGTCTGATTTTGTTTTTTTTCTTTTCATTTTACGCTTACAAACCGCAACGCTCGTCTTGCACACTTGTCCGACGGTCGGCTACAATTAAAAATGATTATTAGTAATAATTGTAATAATTCATTTTTCTTCTTGAACAATATTATAACACGACGAAAACAAAATGACTCAAAACCGACCCAATAATAGTGAACGATTGTATGAAACAAACCTACTGGGAAATGTTCATGTAAAAAGTTTAAAAATGTAGCTTTATTTGGCAAAGTCGATGCTAATGCTCAACTCGGTTTACACGTTATATTATATTGTCCGGTTACAATAGGTTTAGCGTGCATTGCAGTGATGTTCATTATTTTTGTTACAAACACAAATGTTGTCAACTGCAACGGCACAGACCTCGCTAATCCGGCCGTTGCTTTAGCGTTGTATACTTTTACTTGCACCGGTCTCGTATTTCAATTGCACAGCACAATATAGCGCGTTTCGGCGGATGTTGACAATTTGTTTTGACACGTTTCTATATAATAACGCGCACTGCGTACAGTCTAATTTCCACCGGCTGACACTTGTGTGTACATTGTGTACAGCGAGAATGTAACCAGACTTGTGCCAAAATAACCGAAATATCCTATTTGAACATTTTTCAAGGCGAATAACAATTTAAAAAAATACCCGCATTTTTCAATATACCGACTAATTGAATCCGACGAAAACTGTGCCGGTGGCGCCCAACGGATAGGTGTGTAGGTGAATCCAGACCCGGTAACATTGGACAACTCGTTCTAAGTATTTGCATTGTAATGACGTTTTTGAAAGAAAAAAATAACATTACACAGCGTCGTTCTCCGCCATGTACTTTTTTCTCGCTTTGCCGCTAATGCGACACTTGGGTCGTGCAAAGTATACTGGGTAGGTGTATAAAAATTTGTTTCCGCTAATTTCACCGGTATTTTTTTACTCGGTTAGGCTAGACGGATTGGTGGTGGTCCCCCGCTACTAATGTAATTCAGTCGGATCGCATGAAAAAACCATATGCACTATTATAATATCTAAATATTCAGCCCTCGCGGCACTGATGCGGTTGAACTGATGCTATCACGTGAACCTCTTGTGTGTGTGTTGTACTGGCCCGGCAGCAATTTAATAATTCCACCGACCGACCGAACAACGCGCGCACCAGTTATAAGATCTAGTCGGAGATTTCACAGTTACACGCAGAAAACATTTAAATAATAACAATATTCCATAAAAAAAAAAAAAAAAAATACCATTATAACAGGCAACGGTCTGCAATAAATCATAATTAAACGCATCTGGTTTATTATTATTGTTTTTTTTTTTTTTTTTTGACGGTCGCCACACGAATGTGCGTACTGTTTCGTTCTCTGCAGACAATCAAATAAAAAATGTTTTTCATCTCTTCTCGGGTTAATTGGACAGACAAACGTATCATATGATATTCTGGCACGTTTTTTAACGAACCCCGCGCGGTCGACGGTTTGATGATGATTATCGTTTATCACACGCTGGTCCCCTTTTCAATTTCCACACGACTTCCTCCTTAGGGACCGACCGGATTTTCCAGGTTTTCCACAAATCATCGCCCACGTATACGTAATACTATGTTAGGACAGCGACCGTGTGTGCCGGTGAATAAAATAATATATATTATTTCCAACAACGCAGCTGGCCCGGCGGTCTTGGCGCGTTCAAAATATTCCAGGGACTCTGTAAGTGCAATTTATCAATACATCAAATACTGTACCTCTAGCCGTAGTTGTATAATTTGAGTAGTTATACTTGGATACTTCTTTTGGTGTTTAGTCAACGAAATATTCATACAATTTTTAAACAAGTATTTCGTATACTTCTATGTGTGTTTTACTAAGCATGTATTATTTTACACGATCACCTCTGCCCAGGACATAATATTGGGATTTCTTGTTTTCTCGGTTGTAAAATTACATAGTAACTTTAGGTAGACGAGTAGGTACAATTTGTAGTTGTTATAGATGGATAGTTATTTTGTCGGGAAAGCAAACCGTTATCGCTTCTACTTGACAGAACGCCGTCGATCGGGTGGCCTTTGCTTTGCGCTTGCCAACACCGAAGACGACCATTTTTCGAAACACTACCCGGAACACACAAAGACAGTGTTTTGTTATGTCCTCCGGCTTTACATCTGAAAAATGGTATTCTTTTGCACAGTAATAATTATTGTCAACGCGGGCCCCGTTTTTTTTTTTTTTTTTTTTTATAACAATATCTTGTCGGCAAACGCACAAACGGGCCAAAGAGTTGTGTCGTGCACGGATCCAGGTGCATAATGTTGGTCTGACAAAAACAAAATTATGTTTTCTATCGTTTTCTGCTCTGTACCTAAACCGCACCGACCTTTTCTACAGACACGAGAGATTTCGGATAATCGCCACCGGCCGTGGGTTAGGCCTACTATACAATATAATATAATAATACGGTCGAGCCCCGGAGGAGTCGGCGGCGAAGACGGAGAAGAGCATTAAATATATATATATATATACCTATATATAAAGACACGTCGAGTCCAAGACAAGTTGTGGGCGGTTGGGCTGCAGTGGAGGGGAGGGACGAATCGTGAACGACCGTAGAATAATAATGATAATATAAAAACCACCGTGTAATATATAAGAAAAAAAAATTTCCTTTTATTTCTTCTCTTTTTTATTATTATTCTTTTTTTACTGTCAATGCGGCTAAGGCAATGCCGTTTTCCGTGTTATTGTTGTGTGTGTGTGTGTGTGTACCTGTCCGTAACCGTTGGATTTTTTATTATTATTATTATACTTTTATTTTGTTATTCCATCTCTCTCTGTTGAACGTACCCAACACCACGGCCGCCGGTCGTCTTCATTCACCCGAATATTGTATAATAATATGTGTGTGTGTGTGTAAGAACTAAGACGGTTGGAAGAAAAATACAAAAAAAAAACAATCTTCGGTCGGAAACACACAAAATAAGATAACAACGCATCCTTAGAGCTTTCGCGCAGGACACTGGTTACTGGTAGTGTACAAAATGAAAACGTTAAATACATTGTTTACACCATCTCGGTTCGTGTCAAGGAGGACTGGTATGTTTACCTACGCTAATATAGTACTGTCGACGAAAACAACCACAAAACGGATATTGAATGAATATTGGTTTTTTTAATAAAATATATCCGTACACGTTTTACTAATGTAATATACTATAATGATAATTATAAAAATAAATTAATTTTATTTATCGTCTTAATGATTATACATATTATAATACAAAATGGAATAGGTACAAATCGATTCAAATTAGGTAGACAACAATATGATAACGTTAATACATTAACATATAACGTTCTACTAATATGATTACGCACTGATCAATAATAATTTACATTTTACAACATATTTTATAATTCAATCGCCGAACATAATATTATAGTACAACAGCAGTAGCATTCGGCGAGTGAAAAACTATTTTTTTCATATAATAATAATATTATAGTGTTTCGCTTAACTTAAATAAAAAAAAAAAATTGTTTGATTTTGGCATTTCGTCATAATATTCTTATATACATTTTTTACACAATAATAATATTTTACAAAAAAAAAAAAAAGTTTTTCCTAAGTAAAAGAAAAACTACAAATCATCACAGCCATATTTTGGAGAGAAAAACTATCCTAATAAAAAAAAACATCCTACATTACATATAATAATATTTTCAATATTATAAAACCGTAGTTTTGTACAACATAATACCCTAAACACATAGGAACATTCGGCATGACGCGCATCTCCGTAACGAATGAGATCTCACGGCCGCTGAAAGGGGGAAAAAAAAGAACCCTGGATAATCAAATTCGGTTCTTCGGACGACCAACAACAATCGGTATAACCTTGTTGTTTAAAAACAAAAACCAAGAAAAAAATAATACTATAAAAAGCAGCGGTCGTCGGTACAAGTAATAATAATAACAGTCGCCGTCCCTTGTTTGCAACTAGGTACTACTATCACTAACTATATGTTGCTATATAATGTTCTAACTGCAGGTGTCTCCGCGAGAAATTATAATAATGTATAGGTACTATACTTTAAATAATAATATTATGATTATGATGGGAAAGGAAAAACGCCAAGATAACAAAAATAACAAACGGTTTTTTGAAAGAACCCGAGTAAGAAGGGGCTTAAGCACGTGTAAAAAGTGGCAAAGAGTAAACGCAGAAGAGAAAAGCATATCTTGATTACATATTATAAAAAAGAAATGAAAATTAAATGAATAAAAAAGATTTATCAAAACAAAACCTATTTACCCGTCCCGCCCCGCCCCGGGCCCGTGTCATTATAAAGCCATTAGGAAACGCGGCCCAAGCCAGTCGAAGATTCCTTTTTTTTTTTTTTTAAATATAATATGGTCTTCCCGTCGGCGTTTTTTTACTCGTTCACACGTCCGTCCCGGGCGTCGTCGGGGACGTTCTGTTGGCGAACCGTTGAAGGGACGGCGTGGTCGGCAGCACCGGCACTCCTCTCTGCCACACCCTCAAAGTCTTCACCGAGGGTTGCTGCTGTTGCAGTAGCTGCTGCTGCTGCTGTTGGTGCTGCTGGAGCTGGTGCTGATGGTGCTGTTGGTGAAGGTGCATGTTGTCCTCCGGGTGGTGCGCGTGATGGTGTTGCGGCAAAGGCGGTATGATGGGCAACCCGTAGTCGGCCGGGTAGTCGCCGCTGCCGTTGTTCATGTTCGACATGACGGGCGGCTGCATCGGATACGGATGTTGGCCGCTGTTGTACGAAAACACCTCGTCCGATCCCGTGCCAACGCTGTACGCGTCTCCGCCGCCGCCGCCAATGATGGGCGTCCGGTCGTCATAGTTGCGCATCGTGCCGGTGGTCGTCGTCCGGTTGCTACTGCTGTAGTACGACGGCGGTTTGGCCGACATGGGCGAATCGCACATCTCCAGGCGGGACGCGTCGTGGTCGTGGATCAGGTCCAGTCCGGTCACGTGGTAAGACCCGGTCGGCGTGAGGGCCGACGGACGCGGTTCCAAGTCCGGGTCGTAATTGCGCTCGATCACGGACGATATATCCAGCGCGGGGTTGGTCTTGCCGACTCCCGTCATAACGCTGGGCTTGTGTTGATGGTGGTAGTCGACGGTCGAATGGGCGGCCGCGGCGGGTTTCGAGTCGGACGGGTAACCGGACCGGCGGATCCGCATCACTGTCAGAGCGATCAACACCAAGATGAACACTATGAGGGCGGCGAATGCGGCGGCTATACCGTTTATGTGGCCCGCTACGAAAGTGGACATGATCACTGACGGCCGTTCCGTCACGTATACCGTAAAGTTGGCTTCCGAGTTACCGGCCCTGTTCTCGGCCAGACACGAATATTGACCGGCGTCCTCTTTGCGCACGTCCGTCAGCGTCATTTCGCTGCGACGACCGCTGCCGTCGTCAGCCGTGTCCACGACCATTACGCGTGGATTGGTGGACGCCGCGGGATAACCGACGGGCACGCCGGCCGCTTGCAGCCGACGGCCGTTGAGGTACCACGCGATGTGAGCCATCGAACCGGGCTCGACGCGACACCGAACCGACACGTTGGCGCCCTCAGCCACGTCCACGTAACGCGATTCAACGCGCACGTCCGGGCGACAATCGAAGTCCTCGACGTCCAACGCCATCAACGGCTTGCCGGACAGTCGTTCGGGCCCTCCCGCACAGAGGGCGGGCTGACTGTACGGCACGTTGTTGCCGGATAGCCAGATCTTCATCGGTCTTAGATAACAATCGCACACCCACGGGTTGTCGTGCAGCTCGATGGAATTGAGCTTGCTGAATGACTGGAGAACGGTGGCCGACAGTTCGCTCAGTTTGTTGTCGTTGATCTTGAGCGTTTCCAAGCGGGTGACGCCGTCGAATGCGTGGGCTCCGACCGACTGCAGACCGCAGTGCGATACGTCCAGCTTGACGATGCCCGGACACTCGACGAACGCTCGACTTTCGATCTTTTGGATGGGATTCTCCGCGACGGACAAGTCGCGCAAGTACGGTATGTCGCGGAACACGAACGAAGGCACTTGGGTCAACAGGTTGTTGGACAGGTCCAGCTCGATCAAGTTGGCGAGACCGCGGAACGCTGTCTCGGCAATCTGTCCGATTCGGCAGTTGCGCAAGTACACCTTTTTCAAGTTGACCAACCCGGCCTTGGCGAACGTCTCGTTGGGCAATATCTGCAGGTTGTTGCCGGACAGGTCCAGCACTTGGGTGTTCGGATCCACTCCGGTGGGCACGGTGATGAGCGCGCGGTCGACGCACTCGACGGTCGGACGGCCGCCTTTCCACTTGCACGAGCAGCCTTCCGGACACCCGTCGATGCTCGCGGCGACGGACACCAGAGCGGCCAACGCGATCCACCACATCACGACGGTCGCGACACTACAACGGCGCTTCTTACACGACGACGGCGGCATTTTTCAATATGCAACCCGAGCGCAGCACATAAGCGTCGACGCGTATTCGACGGTTGAAAAATAATAACAAAAAAAAAAAAAAAAAACGATCGCCGCACAACGCTCGCTCTAACGACGCACTGGCGACGGCGGTGAAAACAAATTAAATATGTACGGTGATATGGTTAACAAAGTTTTCTCCTCGCTTCGAAAGCACAACGAGTTGGAATAACACACAAACGGCGTTGCGACGACGGATCCTCTCGTACGAACGAACCGGTACGAACTGTTCGCCGTGGCGTTCGCGTCGAGTGTCGACCGAACGGCCGCCGCGACGTTTGCCCCCCCCCCTCCGTTTCACCATAACGCGGCCGCCACTACGAGGAACGTACACCGCGCCGCACCGGTTGCCCTACCTGAGACGACGACCGCATTCCCGTCGGCCCGTGACGTCGTGTATACGTATTACCTTTATATTACTATTGCTGCAGCATACACAGGAAGGATGCCGCCGCCGCGCACATTAGGTATACGTCGTCTACGCCGGCACGAAGCCTCAGGTATAACGACGTTCGTATATGAATGTATATATATATATATATATATATACACATTATAATAAAAGAGGTACCTATACGCGTACAACTGACAACAATGGACGACCGCGGCCGTGATGATGATGGTTCGCCTACTCTGCGCGTGCGTGCGCGCGAGTTGGTTGGTACACGAGACGAAGAAGTAATCGAAAACATTCATATAATACAATAATATTCCTTTCCCTCGTCCCGTGCGGCGTCCATTCACTCGACCCCGCGGTAACGACGTTGCGGCCGAACGCGGCGTCGTCCGTACCTGCAACTTCTTGGCGCAGGTAACGACGACGACGCATCGTACATCCGAGCAGGTGCGGGCGGCCATCAGAATAAATAGGCGCGGTTTCTTTTCTTTTTTTATTTATTTATTTCTTTCTCGTTATTTCCTTTCCTTTAAAGGTAAACCTAACCTTTTTTTTTTTTTGTGTATGTGTTTAATTGACAAAAACGCACGTTCGCGTACAATTATTCCGAAAATCCGCACGTCCGACGAAAAAATAAAATTATATACAAGCCTCAAGCCATATGCGTTTTTAACGGTTTTTCAATGTCACCCCAATCGTGTCCGCCCGCCCTCCGAGAAAAATACGTTACGGGCAACACGTTTGGATGTCGCACAGTCGTTACTGCGACAAAATACATGAAACTATACTTATTTTTTTTTTTACCTCTGTCGTTTTACGATCGGGCCGTAAAAAATTTACACGTACATCTACGATTTTTAACCGCATTTTTATTTTTTATACATTTTTTCCTTTACACTACTAAACAGAGAAAGCAATATTCGTAGTGCATACACACACACACACACACACACTAGGTTTTAGCTCTTATTAAAGAATACTCTATTATAGTATGTAATATTTAAGTAAATTATTTGTACGTAAAGTATTCATAAATACATTTAATTTCAAATACTTAACAACTTTCGAATTTTCACTGTAAATAATATTAAAAACGGTTGTGTCATAAAATATTTCTTCGTAAGACTTGTAATAATTAATATACGACCAGTGACATTAAACGACATAATGATAATGTTATAAATCTCGTTATTAGTTTTCGTTTTCAGTAACTAGATTTTCCCCTTCGAAACCCGTTTAGTGAATACTTTTTATTAATCTAATTCCCTTGTCACCCAAAATAATTACTAAACGTAATAACGAATCGCTTTCATTTAACATACATATACCTAACGCGCCATTCGTTTACACGCTGATGATTACTACACAATTTTTAATCATTATTGGTGAAAAAATTACATGCATGTAAGAAAGCTGTTCTATACATAATATTATTAGATATAATTGACTCGATGATTGCAGAAACGACACGAGTCACTTTTTTAATGAAATAGAATTTTTTAGTGGAAACACGTTTTGCACGTATGTTTGTATCCGTTTTTATTAATTGACTACATTTTTTTAAACACTTGACTCGTGTCGTTTCTGCAATTATCAAGTATATAGTTCAATTATAGTTATATTATTATAATTATCATTATTATTATTCAATGACGTTGATATCAATTAATTATTGTCGATAATGACAATATAATAATTATTCAACGCACGCTCTGCCTTTTTTTTTAACCCTAAATACCAACAAGATTAGGGCTTTTATTACACTTTACAACATGATTTTAGCACAAAAACCGAAATACATTTATTTTTTAAACTATCTTCAGTAAAAAACATTATTTTGTTGCATTGACATGGATTTTTATACATTTGAATAAGTGTGTTAACTTAATTTAAGCAGAGAATTGTGTTGTAATTTCTTTGCTGAATTAAGAACTGGTCTCCAGAATAAATGTAGCAATTTTAGTTTTAGTGTTTTTACGGTTTTAAGAGGAATTAAAAAATAACTTATAGTTGTAGAGAAATTCTGAGGCCAGAAAAAACAATACATTTTGCCAAAAGCCCAGTTTTGCTATACATTGTAGTTACTTTCATCTTCAAAAACAGCAGTAGCCTTTTGATATTGTGTTTATTTGCTATAGTAGTCAGTCCCTACTTGCTTTGAGCCTTTTCCAAGTCTATTAAACCATTTTTATTTTTATAAAACGGTGACTGCTGACAAACGACATTAGTATAAAAACAAATACTCTTTTATAATACTTGTTTGTAAATGGGCCAGTCGTATCGACACTTATTTTTTATTTTGTTTTTCACCGTAAATTCGGGTCTGACAGATTTTCTGTATAATAATATACGTTTGTGCGACCCCCGTGGATCACAATGCAGTAAAATGCACCCCCCCCCCCACCCCCGAAAGGGTTTAACGACCGTTGGACGCCAAGTAATCTGTCGGATATAAGACCGAAAAAACTCGCTACCAAAACAAAATTAAAGCCTATTACAGCAGCCATTACCTCACTCGTTCGGTGAATCTTTCGGTAAATAATGACTGTATAGTATAAATATAATATATTAGCCAACCCCTTCGACCCCAGTTGTACAGGTACAGCAGTCTGCGCAACAACAGCTCTAAAAGGTGTGTGTGTAACGCAGGAAACCCTTTTTTATTTTTTTCAATTATCCACTGTATAATTTAACGCTTTCCGTCACAGTACCTACACGTAAACGACGACGGCTTATCAAACAAACAAACCACCGCGTTTCCCACGAAAGCAAAATAACTAATAATTAAAAAGTTACACATAAAATGCCGCACAGGTCACATGGTGTAACGCGGAATGCGTTAATGCCGACAGGATGTATATATAAAAAAAAAAAATATGGGTAATTTTTTAAATCGTTTTATCCGCGTTACACAAATCAAATAAAAAAAGTGAGAGAAAAACAAAAACCATCGTGTTAGAAATTTCCCAAGTCAATCGATCAGCCAAAGCGCGGCTTATTGTATTAAAAAAAAAAAAAAAAACTGGTTGTCCAACAAAATGCGCACATAGGTACACAACAGTCTAGTGATATTCAAATCAATTGTAAAATCTGTTACGGATTTATTTTGATCCACCGTTAAGTGCACATCGATCATTGGAGTATACCCGTATATAAATACTTGAATAATAATAATATCATACACCTACTCGTGTCATACTATATTTACATAGTTTAATATACACTGAACGAATTCAAATCAAGCATTCCCCTTACAAGTCCAATTTAGACTATTAGCTGGGCTGGTAACAATAATTTATTATAAACCAATAACATATTCTATATTTTTAATAACAATATTATGTTGTCAACAAGAAGTGTTAAGTGTTAACCGTTGTGAATGTTAGTGGTTCTAAAATAAAGACAAAAAAAATACTTTTCGCGAGCACCCATCGATGCTGTTAAGAAAATCTACTTAATTTAAAAACAATGAAAGTTTCAACATAATAAAAGAAAAATACTGGCTTTGACACAATCATGTTTCACCGCGTTTCTTTTATCGAAAACCGCAAACTCACAAAAAAAGTTTCTAAAAACGGACAATTTCAAAAAATATATTACTGCATAAATAAAACTATTATTTAAATCTTTATTTGTTTGAATTATTATTTCCATTGTTATTTAAACGAAAAATGATTTAGTTACAATTGAAAATGTATTTAATACTTTTTTATTCTTTATTTAAATTCGTTCAAATAACAATTCATTCGAAATTATTATTTGGACATTGGTTCAAACAAAAACATAAAATGTTATTTATCATTTGAGTTTTTATTTAATAAATAAAAATAAAAAAGTAAAATAACGTCGAGATCTGTTACCACCTAACCTGACGACGGGATTACGGTTTAAACGAAAACATTTGTTTGGATTTAAACAAACTAAGGTTCGTTTTATTTTTAATTTTAACATTCAAAAACTCCATTTGTGTTTGACATGTATAATAGGCATATTTTTTTACAAATATATTAGCTCGAAAATCGTATTCTTTTTAAAGTTTAACACCTGACGTTAATTTTAAAACATTTTTTACAATTATATCAAACGTTTTTAAACGACTAGGCACTTGTATTATTAACACAATTTAAAAAAACGCTTTTCACTTCCTCGGATTTTCCGCTTGGAAACACGTCACTTGGCTACCAATCAAATAAAACGCAAGAATTCCGTTTAGTGAAGAAAAAAAAAAATTGAATTCCAAATCATTTCACCCCTTCTCGGATATGCAATTATTGTTATAAGCGGAACTCGACGTTACGTTCTTGAATAAATCGACACTACTATTCTTGGAATATTTCAGATTTTTTTTTTTTAAAGCTCTTTTCGCTCGACAACGTTTTCATTGAACACATCAAACAAACCCGACAACGGTTTCGCTTTTGAGCTATGTCGATTGAAGTTTTCTCGTGCTTCAGTTACACTTCCAAGCAAAAGTTACAAGTCGCACAGACGCAATTTAAGGCGGGTACCTATAAAGTTTATATTTTATTAACGGGGATCGACCCCTAGCCTGGTCAATGACTGTGTTTGTGTTGCCGATGTACAATATGTGATATGGTACTACCGTATGTTATCTAGTATAGCATGTACGATCGTCATGCCACGGACTTGACGTCATCGTAATAATGTTCGATTGGGCGAATTCAATGACACACAGAAAATTCTCGGTTTTGTACAAACGACAACGGTGTGGTGTTTATCAGCGGAATTGCTGATCCGGTTGATCGGTCGTATCCGGATGACTAATTTTCGTCGGACGGTTTTTTTTTCTTTCATTATTGTTTTTATTGTTTTATT